TGTGGTAAACTAGGAAAAAATTGATTCAAAGTCAAAAGAAGAAGGATGATCATACATTAGAAACCTAATATTAAATGCTGAAAAGTAATTTTTGTCCCTTATTATGTTCAACGAAAATATTGCTTAAATGGTTTAATGGTAGAAAGAGAGTGTACTAAACCATCTTAAAGATGCCAGCATTCAAAGATAGAAAAATGTATACCAAGTTTCAAGCACAGCTTTTAAAAAATTAGAATCTCAAGAAGAGACAAAAAAGAATATTGTAATAGAGACATAAAATAATGTGAAGCATTTTTAGTGCTACTTGCTGAACAAGTAATAGTAAAAGGCTGTTTAAAACAAATTATAAGATAATAGGACTTAAATAATAGAAGATGATAAACAAATACTGTTTACTTTTTACTACATATTTATTAATATAATTTTGTCAGGTTTTTACAATAGAAGATAAGCATGCATTACAGTGAGCTCAAGTAGTATTGGGTGATTTTAACATAACTGACTCAGAGGTTCCATAGAGGATAGCACTAATAAAGTCTGATCACTTGCCTGGGACTGACGGTGTTTTCCCAGGCATACTAAAGGAAATGAGAGGTGTTATTCATACACCCCTCTGGTACCCCAAAATTAGAAATTGCAAATGTAACACCAATTTGTAAAAGAGGGAGACAAAACGGAACCAGGAACTATAGACTATAGACTTACTCCTGCTTTTTTTCTGAAGTTATGGAGATGATAAAATAGATTAGATTACTTAGAAAACAACAGTATTTTAAGAGACAGTTAACCAGGATTTATAACCTAAATAGAACTTCTATGCTACCATGAATTCTTTGAACAAGAAACTGATATTGGACATAACATTAAAGCTTTTGATATATTTGGACTTCCCTCCTAGAAGGGACTTTTTAGATTCATTGCTAGTCAAGATCTACATCCATGGCTTATATTCTGATATACACTAGTTAGAAATCTAGATACTGTATATTTTCACATTATTTAAAAATAGGGAGAAGGGATGACGCAAAAATAGCAACAGGGGTCATTACAAAAAGATGCATAAAATCAAAGATTGGCCAGAATTTAAAGAATTTAAAGTTGTGCAGTTTTTTTTCCAGTGACAAAAACTTGTGCGCACTAATTTGAGTGTATGTAAAATTGTAAACCTGAAATTGTTAATATAATATGTTAATATAAATTGTTAATATGTTAATATAGTCATTCTCATAGAAGCGTAGAGATCCAAAAGACCGGGACAGCGATTGAACCAGTCCAGTCATAGAGACTGAGTGTGGAGCGAGCATGAGCAGTGAGGTACAGTACAAGACTACAAGAGCATAGATATCGATTATCGAGTAGCAATAATAATGCACACAGCCAGTCTCACGTGGTCAATTTTGCATTTTTCAATTGCCGACCATGTTTGTTTTTATGTTATTATCATATTGTTTTGGAATCTAATTTTTGTGCGCAGTTCAATTTCCTATGTGCACTGATTTCATTACCTTTAAACCGCACAACTTACAAGCTGAAAAAAGGTTTAAATTCACTGGGCTAGTAAACTCTGAAGCTACATTTTGAGTTGTGGAAGATGGAAAACGCTACCTATCCACATCGTTGGAAGCCAATACTGTATGCTACATTAGCTTCCTTTAAAAAAATAGTCGGATGAAATCCTTAATTTAACTATCTACCATTTACAAAATGAATGAGATGAGCCTAGTGGCTTTGTTTGTCACAAATATTCTTTATTTTACTAAACATTAGTAAATTATTAATAGGCAGGGATACTTTTGCAAGCACTGTTCTGTAATTGGATGTTTTCTTTATATTGGACTTCTGATAACTTAAGAAGACCTTGCTTCTGTTATTCAAAATGTTGTTTTCTACAAAAATACTTTTGTTGGCTAGTCCTACCAAGTGTTTATTGCACTGATAACTATAGTTTCTGGCCCTCTTTCAGGCACACTTTTGTCTGAAGACAGAAAGGTAGCATTTGTTGAGGCCTTGAAAGATACCGTATTTTCAGTCCTGTTGTTTATTGCACATACTGTAGATAGATTCAAGGCCTTTTCTCTACTTAATACATAAAATGCTATTCAGTGGTAGAACCAGTTCCCCTTAAATGGTTTTCTGTGTCTTTTTAATTACCACAATCATTTGAACAATTAGTCATTTTGAAGAGCTCAAACTAAAGCTGAAAAAGTTTTAACACGGAGTACTGTATCTCAGACTGTTGACAAACTCCTTTTCCTGACACTACCTGCTGTAAAACATCCATAGCACTAATCTGAAATTGAATCAGACAATAAAGAAGACTTCTTAGAAGCTGCCTGACTTCTTCTGACTAACACTTGTGTTGCTGTGCCATGTGACAGTGTGCCTCTGTCTACTTTTGATCCAAATATTTTGTGCATCGTTGTGTGACCCAGAAAAGGCAAATTTAGTCAAAAAATGCTAGAAGGCTATTGAGGTCAGGCTATCAAATATGACTTTGAGTGTCTTTCTGTGTAAATATTCCAGTGTACTGTATATAGAGAATTTTAGAGTGAGGAGGAAGTGTGTGCCCACTGTAGGTACTTCAGGTTTTATGCAAATTTGGGTAATTTCCCAAACTCAGACAATAAGCACAAAACAATAGACATAAATTGTTGAATGTATTTGCAAAAACACCAACAAGAATTAAGGAGAGATGTCATTAAAGATATCATTGTACTGTATGTACACATACAGAAATTAAAAAGAAAAAAAAATTAAAAAGACAGTCTCAATAATGTATTCTTACCCTTAAAAGCTACAGCTAGTCTATTTACAAGTTATAGTATACACGTATTTTTTCAATACAAATAAAAAGCCCTAAAGATTTGTATGGATTTTAATACCGTGTGTATAAATTACAAATCTGTCAAAATGCGTCTTACAGGGAACAATTTTGAGTGTTATACTTTTGCATGTTTTAAGAATAAACAGTCATTATAAATTATATGAAGATGTATTAATTAGCTGTTTCATAATGCTGAAAGCAGAACAATCTATTGTATAGACAAGTTTTTCCAATCCTGGTCCTGGTGTATCTGAAGGTATAATTCACAGAAGAGATTACCTTATTTTTTTTCATAATCTTCAGATTTCTGTGTTAATCATACTGGTGGTGAAAGTATTTAAAAACTCAATTTGTGTTTAATTCAGCTACAGTAGATCACATGGACACATTTGACCTAGGAGTCAGTTAATTGCTGTTTAGCATAATCATGTCTCTTTGTTGTGTTACCATGGGACTTGGCCACAGACCCTGAATTCAAGAGGTCAGCCTCAAATAGTAGTCTCAAGCCCATTGTATCTTGATTATGCCATGGGTTTTTTAAGATTCCTAATTGCTGGTTTCAATTAGCCTCTCAAACCAAAGCACTTTTCTAATGCACACATGGGTCAACATTCTTCCTGATGGAGTACCATTCACACCATTATCTCTGAATGATTTCATGATGGGCACCACAGTAGAAACTGGGTAGGTGAGGTGTATGATATTTAACAAAACACAGCTCTCAGCTAGTGACAGTTATGTTTCTATGTTCATCTTTCTTTAATACCCCATGGCAATCAGAAAGTTTATAAAACCTTATAAAACTTTCTGAGGGTCTGTGAAATTACCAAATCCCTTATATGCTTCGAAGGATTTACAGCAATTATTCTCTGTGTTTCTAATTATTTGGTGTATTTATAGGGTATGAATACTTTTGAATATTGTTCATTTAGAAATATAATTATTTTATACAGTTATAATATTGACATATTCAGTACACATCTTCACATAATGTTAAGCTTATCACTTTTGATTTTTTGACTGTTAAAACAAATTATATTCTCTTTGCTAAATCATCTTTTAGGTTATGTTTGTTAAGGGCGTGAATACATTTAAATTTGTCAGTATACCATGTAAAGTTACTCATACTCACATACTGTATACATGAAATTACTTATCATAGAAATGGAAATAGAGCAAATTATTGACACTGAAAGAAGAAGGCTCTGCAACAGAAGTATGGACAAAGACCAATACTGATCTGCACCAGTTGCAACCAGAAAGTCCATTTGACACCCATATAAAAAGAAGCCACATGTATTCAGATGTGGATAATTTATTTTTTAGGGTGTGAGATATTCTCTCATAGCTGGATGGTACTTAAGGTTAAGGCTTAACTTATCAATCTCATTTTACACAAGTGAAAATATTTTGAGATGAAACACTTTCTTGCATGCCTTTGGCCTTCAGCCATGCTGCAGTGGCTTGTGGGATGCAACCATTTTGCTTTGGGGAAAGACACTGCACATCTGGATCATGAAGCCAGACATCTGTCAGCTTTTTTGTTAGCCAGGCCCTAGATGTGATAATGACCTAATTCTTTCTCTGCGTCAGTGCTTTCCCAACCCATTGTACTTGTGAAAAAAGTCACGTACCCAGATAAGCATCGAGAACACATTAAATATGGTGCTGTTAAAAAACACGCCTTATTCTTCACTGCAAAAAAATTGAGCAGATAGTAACCATTAAAAAAACTGCCATGTAAAATAAACAGAAAGGAAAGACTTTCAAGCAAGTGCTGCAGTGGTCTGCAACCATAGTCACAAGATCTTTTTTTTTCCCAGCTGAGACCCTAGGCATCCACTCACTGATCAATTTAGTCTCTACTAAAGTCGCTACTGTTGAAGCCCTGTGTTACTATATTTCCATATCTTTGTATTCACCTTCTCGTCCCTAGCCTCCACATGCTTTTTTGTTGTTAGCTCTTTTGCTCTCTGCCCTGGACTGTCTAAATGTCAGGGCACTAGTCTTTGAATACTGTAGGTACCAGTACTTGGGAGGGCAGGAGAAAACTATTGCTCAGGTTTTAAACTATTACATGTAAAATGTAAAATGGCTATGTCTGTATTTCAATATTCAGTTTATTACTGCTGCTTAGATAAAAGAAAGACCTCCAATTTTGCTCTGTTTTTAACAGGTCTTGACTGAAAATGGTTATGGACAAATAACCACTGAAATCCGCGAAGGCCCAGAATTCTACTATGCTGAGGATTACCATCAGCAGTACCTGAGCAAGAACCCAGGAGGCTACTGCGGACTGGGCGGCACTGGAGTGTCCTGTCCAGTCGGACTGAAGCATTGACACACTTCTCTTATCTTCATAAGACAATGTGTAGCGGAAGTTGCCTTAATCATCAAAAAATGCCACGAATCAGAATTTAATTAGCAATTAAATTTAATTTAATTTCATGAGTGTTAATTAAATTAGTTAATTTAATTTTATTTGATGGGTGTGAGATACCGAGCCTATTGTCTAAGCTGTACATTTACAGGTTAATTAGGAGTTAGGGGTTTTATAAAGTTAAAAAAATACATAATCTAAACAAAGATTTCTCAATATAGTCCATTTAAATTTCTGTTACACAATGCTTATGCTTTTAATGTAAGGAAAAGCTTTCTTGTATTTTTTTTCTACAGAGGTGTTTATTTTCTTTTAGGATAATGTAGGTCATCCAATTAGATGAATATGGGCAATACATATACAGACTATAGATTGTGTAGTTCTGAATATCTGCTTTTCTTTGAGTGACATTTGATGCATTTTCATATTGTTGGATTGCCACTCTCACATACTAAGTGCATTAAAATATTTTACTTTCTGCTAGGCTGATATTCCATGTTAATTGAAGCTTTGTCTGTCACATTGATTGCATATTAAACACATCTTCTAGGAATACAGTAATACAAAACATAACTGACTTCACAATCAAGGGAAAATTGCCCACAGGGTTTGTGCAACTTATCACAAGTTCCTTAGTAATTAGTTAAACAAATTATCTCGTCTCTATTCCATCAGCCAGGTGGGAGCTGCATTTCAGTAGTGGAAGAAGTGGGGTCTTCTATATCTCCTATATATACTAATGGAAAAAAGAAACGCAACATTTCTGGAATGAGAATATTATAGTTATAGCTTATGTACTTTTACAAAAAGTTTTCAATTTGTTTTAAGCCCTCTGACCAGCAATACAGTTTTTGCAGTGAGGCATTGCAAATTGCCAATCACACGAAAGCTCGTTAGGTGCACATTTTACCCAACGAGGTCCAGGTGGAACAAACAATTTTTCGAAAAGAGTAGGGGAGTTATCCCAGCGTCCTGGCCAAATTGGCCTTTACCAATCATGGCCTCCTTATAATCCGTATCGATGAATTTGCTCTATGACTCTGTTCTCCTCCCCACTGATAGCTGGTGTGTGGTGAGCGTTCTGGCGCACTATGTCTGACATAGTATTATCCAGGTCATCCCTGCCTCATAGCAAATGACTTCGCTTTGAACTTAAACTCAGAAATTTAGATGGTAAGTTTATGATGGTAACTTTTTAGTCTTTGTAACATCTTTTAACTAAGATGTGCATTTGTTTCTTATACAAAGTAAGTAAAAGTGTCTAAAACAAGGGTTCAATTCATGGGTGTATGTTTTATTCTATAATTTTTCATAACTAAGTAGCCACATAAACTACATAAAGGATTATTCAGAATGATCTCTGAAATGACAACATCTTGGTATGACACAAAGGAAAACTTGACATCTTCCCATGTGATAAACTGAATGACATTTAATTCCCCAGAAAACAGTTCAGAACGGCCTGAAGCCTCCTGCCATGTTAAGACCATCATCTTATGCCAGACTTTGATGTGCATCTGACATCAGTCCTGTCAAGATGTATACGATATTGATGTGGACATTTAACGCATCAGTGGATCCTAGCCGAAGTCCCGGAAGAACACCGTGTCTCCTAGTTTTAGCCCCTGCTGAGATCTTAATCACAGGCTAACTGGTTTCAGTTTTCTATCTGGGTCATACTTATACATGTGCTTTCAGCTCTTTAAAGGTCAAATGGGATTGTTAATTGGTATCAACCCTCTACTACCTACCAAGTTTCAGAACTCTGCCTACTTGTGGGAGTGTCATACAGCACAATTTCCCATCTATGTCGGGTTATCCTAATTGATCAGCTCGTAAGAGCTGTACTGGCAAGCAAGTTGAGGAGAGGATGTGTTCTGTTCTGTATGCTGAAGGTGTTGGAAATGATACCCTTGAATGGTACACTCAGGAGTAGCAGAAGAATGTTAAATAAAAGTTCAAAAGAGCAAAAAGATTAAGTCATCAATTAGAACTTTAGATTTAGAGCTCAACTGGAATGAAAAACCAGCAGTGTTCCTCCAAGACCAAGATTTGGAGCCAGTGGTCTAGTTACAATATCTGACTTTGCTCATGAGCCTGTACCATTTACACACTTTTAAATAGTTTCTTTTACATATTTAATTATAGTCCATATTTATAGTTCAAATAATCTAGTTAGAAATCAAAATACTATAGTTAATATTTTCCAATACCAGTAATCCTGTTTCTTTTGAAGTTTCAGCCTTAATCATTTCAAGTCATTTTGAACAATTGGAGAACCTTACAAGACTGTATATGATATACGTACTTACTACTGTATATGATACCTTGTTGGAACATATTGAATAAAGAGCAAATTGTTACAGTGTTAAAGTAACGATTTTCAACAGCATTGGCTCTGCAATATAAACAGTAAATAGCTGTATTATTTTTAATATAGCATACACAAGTTCAAATACAGAAAGTTGAACAGATACTAAAAAATGACTCTCACAGAGTTATTCCTGAACATGAAAGGGTATGGGTTTTCAATAAATAAAGTAACAAGGAATCACATCGTAACGCACTTATTTGCTTTAAGCTGTCAGTATAAGAAATAATATGCCCATGGTACATAACACTTTTGAACCTGGTCTCCAATTGAATCTAATGTAGCTGACACCAGGAGTTGAAGCCTAGCTGTCTGCTGCTCTTCACGAGTAATGGACTGTCTGCTGGATGGGTGTTTCTTCAAGGAACTGAAAAAATAGAAATCACCGGTCACAGCTGTGAGATGGTAAGTCTGGAAGTATTCCATGGAGTTTGGTCATTTAGGGTCTGATGTTATAATGCAGCAGGATAATGCCCTGATACAGTAACTCTGGCCAATGTCAACAAACTGACTCCCTTCAGCTGCAGCTGTAGCAGCTGGTCAAGCATCTTACAGTAACTTAATGTTTGACTGTGACCTCTGTAAAATAATAGATAGATGGTGTGCTGTGGTGTACCTGTGCAGGTATTGTAGAATGCTGTCTGTTAAAAACATTTCTCTTTTAGCGAACAGAAAAAACAACAAACATCATAAGCATTTATTCAGAACATTGAGCAGGTATAGGTTTTCCATACAAGCTTACAAATTACTAAACAGAAATTTATTTAGAAATAAGAAGGGAACATACAGTATCCGATCAAATTGCACATTCAAATAAACAGCATTATCACTGGAAAGAATTATATGTACAGTAGATCTCCCCTGAAATGAACAAAGCTTTCTCATTCCAATGATGAAAGGAAGAGACTGCCTAGAGAAGTTAGTGTGTGATTATTTGGTTTTTTGAATGTGGTCTGAATAAAAAAAGTTAAAGAATGTGTTGGTCAGTTCTTCAGTTCAAAACTGACCAATAAACTTTAGATCTTGGAGGTTCACTTATCATAGATGATCATTATTACATACTGTGTGTAAAATTAGCTGACTTGGCTTGAGATGAAGTTAACAATCTGCTTTTTCTTGCAAGCTTGCTACAGTAATTAAGCCAATTATTCTAAGTATAATTTCTGAAAATTAGTCTAAGGCTTGCAAGGTGTAGGTGGTCAATTTTTTTAAGTAGATGTTTTTATTTGACTAATCTGAGAATTAGGTTGTTATGTTTTAATTGTCTTAAATCAACTGAGAAGAACATGAATCACTCAGCTTGGATAAACACTAGATGGCACCAATGTTATTTCCAGTATATCAAGGCTGCTTTCAATACAGTACTTGAGCTACAGTGCCTTTTAACACATAATTTTGGACACAGTAGAAAGAATAGCCACTAAAACAAAACAGCATTGTACTGTATACATTGTGCCTTAGGACAAAAATTGTGTTTGGTTTACACATCAATGTGAAACACTTCTATAAATACAGTACTAGAAGAATTCATAAACTACTCATAACACAAAGAGGCATAGAAAGGTGAATGGTAACAGTAAAAGCAGAAAAGTCAAACAAGATTTATTCAAGGGAGCTAAAATGATAAGTATCTGAGGATAGCATGAAAAAGTGACAAAATTCTAAACCTGAGAGTAAAGATCACAGTAGATCAACAGAGAGGTCTCATGGAAGATAGGAAGTTGTAAGAAGTCTGCAGGAACAACTTTGACACAAAGGTAGTGAGTGATCTGTTGAGCGACTTAAAGGATGTCTTCTTCCAGAAGTCGTTTAAAAGTAATGATCATATTAATGACGATATACTGTATAACCATTAACATATATATCATATACTGTATTGTTTCAGCTTATAATATATTTTACTTTATACTGTATGTTGTAAATATATATACAGTACACTGCGAGAAATGGATGTAAATAAGTCTTCAGTAAGTCTTTTTAGATACAGCATTATCTTGCAGTGAACATTTGCACAGTACCAGCCTCCGTAAAATTATGATTCTACTCTGGAACATCCATGAATTTCTGTGTGTTCAGGTAGGGAGAAAAAATCCTGTTTGTGGTAAAGATGAGGTAAAATGAGGTAAAGATCTGTGAAAATGTCAAGGCGTAGGGAAGCAGACAAATGCCAATCTGAAATGTGTGTGTGTGTGTGTGTGTGTCTGTTTGGGCTTTTTGGAAACATTTGTCTGGAATTGGTAATAATTCTTGGCTGGTGTTCAGAGAGCAGCCAAGCAGCTGACAGACCTGCTGGCAGCCTTAATCCATTCAACTGGCCACTCCTATATCAGACCAGGTGGCTCTTGTACTCTTTGTAACTCCTATAGTCAATATAAATCTGGCTCTACAGGGAAATCTGGCTTCAAGTACAGGGGTCTGGCATCACAGAATAAGACAGAGCTGGAGGTCCTCAGGCCATTTCATATTTTTTGGTGTTTATTACAAATTCAGATCAACCTTAAATCAGGGCACTGCATGCAACAGGTAACTAAAATCAAAGACAAATACAACCAACAGAATTCTATTGCAATATTGTTATTGGAAATCTCTTGAGCAACTTGATTTACTCTATTAAAAAAATGATTTCTTTTAGCAAAGAGATTAATATTTAAGTTGTAATACAGTATATTCTGTAGCATGTTGTACATTATATGAGCCTGTTATTTTAATAGGTTTTGTTATTAGATTTCATAGGCCTTAGTCTAAGCTTAAGAATTACATAAAAATAACTGTGTACAAAAGAATTATTTTACTGGTGAAACAGCACCATGGAATCAGGCTTTAAAGAAGGAACTCAAAACAGTAATAAAAGAGACCTAAACTATCTCTAACATTCCTAACATAGGGTATGTGAAAAATTACACACTGTTGTGATGTGCTTGCTAACATTGAGCACAACATTTTGTTAGAGGTAGTTTAGTTCTCTTTTATTAGCGTTTTGATTATAATTACATTTATACATGCAAGGAGTGTAAGTTACTGTATAATGGTGTCTGTCATGTGGTGAAATCCTAGACCTAAATCAGCCCTCACACACCTCAGGTCTTTATTAACCTTGAAACAGAGAGTCAACTGCATGTACAGTAACTGCTTTTTATTTGTGTGACCAAAACAAAAGAATGGACTTGTACATAATGTGATTAACAATAATACTGTTTCTCCAAAGAGAAAAAAAAGATTTTCATGACCTATTTAATTGCCTCTATCAGCTTCCTGTTATTTAACCCTTTTCATTTAGCAGTGCAATTTTTGTTTCATACATAGCTTGACAAAATGTACATAGTTGATACAATTTACAATATGCATCTCATTCAACTAAAATTAGACCCAAAATTACAGTGCTCCTCTAGCAAATATGGGTAATCTTTCCAGTTAAAAGAAACTTAAATTTACAACAGCCAAATTGCAGTAAAAGTATTTACACTGTTAAATAATATAATGAGAATTAACCAGATATTATTTTATCCATTATAGCTGTCGTACCTTAACCTGTATTTTAACAATTCAATGGTCAATAATCTAATTAATATAATGACATAAAAAATAAAGGGGAGCATACTCAATAAGTTTGGCATAAACTCTCCTGACCTACAGTAGGTATTGACGGTGACGGCCATAAGGTCAGGGCTGACAAAACCCTTTCACTTGCAAGAAATGAACCAGGGAGGCTGCTACAAGGTTGTAGATGGAGTGTGAGAAAAGATATCCTCAAAGGGGGGCAGAACAAGCAAAATAGTTAAAATTTAAGTGATAGTCATGAGGGCAAATAGGTTTTCGGTGCACTTCAGAATCCATGGGTGGAAGCTAAGTGGGGTGAAACTGCACCAGTTGGTTGTCAGAAAAAGGAGGAGTAAGAGGGTTGGAGACCTACAGTATAGGCGAGTTAGTAGTTATGTAGAATGGAGCAGGCATAGAGGCAGGAGATGGTTCAAAATGTGGAGCCCAGCCCCAGTGCAAACTAGTTTCATGAGCTCACTTCCTGGGGGAAGAGTGGGAATCAGTGAGCGGAGGAGGGGGACAGTGAAAAAGGCAGATTGGGGAAGGGGGAGAGATGTTACAATGAAGATAAGCAGGGGCTGTAGATTTGGTGGGTTATACGCTTGACCAGAAACAGAGAGAAATGGGGAGAAGTATGTGAGTATTGCGAAAAAAAGATCGGGGGGTGGGGCAGTAAAGGAAATGGTAGAGGAAGCAGTCATGGATGTCCTGGAGTTCCAGGGAGGGCTGACATCAGGAGATCTGGAAGAAAAGAGCAGCCATACAGGGAGTCTGTCGTTTTCATAGGTAGATGAAATGCTTGTCCGAGGTGGTGAGTTGGCGACTTGTAAGAGGTGAACAGTGGTCGGACTGCCCACCCTAACTGTGGTAGAAAGGCAGACGTGTGCTAAGAAATGAGGTGTAAACAAAGCGAGGAGGGTGACAGCGGCACAGGAGTGATTAAGGTAAGGCCAATTGTGAAAGACTTCTGTCTCTGAAAATACCTAAATGCTGAATATGAGAAAAATTTAAGCAAAGATGTGCTCAGCAGGTAAAATATTTAAGATCGCAAAAATTATATATTACAATTTTAACTTCTCCCAAACTTCTGTTTAAGAACTCCATTTAGATCAAATAAGTTAATATTAAAGTTCTCATAAGATTACTATACAGTATTTCCCACAAGCTCCCATATAAATATACAATCATCAGTTACAGAATAACAAAGATTTGCTGAAAAGATTGGTTGACAGAGATGGGATTCTCCCAGAATTTATTTTGTATAATTAATCCACTTTTAGAAATAAACTGATTGTTATTAATTTTTATATTTGTGATAACCTTCTAGTACCAGATTTAGCTGTGTATTGTAATTGCAGGTATAGAAAATATCTTACTAGCTCACAGAGAGGATGGATATGATATACTTAATTTTTTAAAATTATTTAATGTCTGACTGAACCTCATCCTTGGTGTACAAAAATAAGGGAGAATAATTTTATTCACGGCAAGATGGAGAATATTTATTTGTGTTATGATGATGATAAATGTTTAATGTGTTTCAATATTAAAACATTTTGCCTATCACAAAAACATAATTCAGATAATTAAGGTATAGCCATTTTTAATACTATTTGAAATTGTGAAATATGGGCATAAAAAAGTAGACACTTCCATCCTGTGGTGTCTTTAGGAATTGCGATGATACTTAAATTGACTATCTGTAAATTATAGTAACCTAGAATGAACCATTTCTCATAATTCTCATACTTAATAGTAACAAGCAGAAAGTTCCATTGCAGCAATGAAGTTTTTCTCATGCTTTTTCAGTTTTTCTGTGATTATATTCAGAAAATGAAGTTTGTGTTCACATCTTATCATACTGTATCACCTGAGGGAGTGCAAACTAACTGTCACGCCCTCAGCAGCCAGAGGGCGCTCTTACTCTGTCCTGTCCCTAGTTTCCTGCCCGGCTGTCCTTCCGGTCCCTCTCTTTCCCTTGGGCTATATATTTCCGGGTCTTGCACTCTGCCCTCGCTCAGCATTGACGTTCGAATGTCCTGAGACCCGCCTAGCACCAGGTCGCCCCACTTCCGCTACCTGAGGGCATAGGTTTCTATACGGCACTCCTGAACTCTTTGCACTAACGAGCCTGGGCCCTTTTCCTGTTCCGCTGCTATGGGTCTTTTTCCACTCTCCTGCTCTCCATGGTTAGTCCCTTTGGACGTCCGTGACACTAACCTAATTAAAAATGAACATAGATTCATAATTAATTCAAAAAAAATTAACGTTCTTTAGAAACAAAAGTCCACATTGTCTTGTTCAGGGTTCTATCACAAAAAATGTATTTAATTAATATTCCTATACATCTTAAGGTTTCTGACTCACTGATTCTGTGTATTCTGGTTACACCCTAGCCCTCCAAAAATACATATGAATGTGCATCTCAGTTTTTATGGATAATATTGTGACGAAATCAGTCCTTAAACAAGTTCGGCAGAGGACAGCAACAGACCAGGGTTACAGGAGTGTGCTATTCACTTGGGAGAGGTAAGGATTGAGTGAAACTGGAGATAGGGAAAGAAAGGGGGAGCACAGCACTTCCATTGATTTACCATGTGGTTTAAAGAGGTAGAAAGGTGGTCCCCTTATATAAGGTGCAGTGGGGGAGGTGAAGCTGCCAGTGAGCAAGATCGGGGGGTGATGGCATAGTCCAAGGGTCCGGGGGGGGAGTGAAGCACTTCATACTTACCCCCTCCAGTTACTCATCTCTGAGGAACACGCCTGAATCCTGGAAATGGACTCTCTGTCATCTCTGCCTTGGTGAGTTGTGCGTACCCAGCTATGGAAATGCTCAGAAGGAAACCCCAGTGTTTGGACATTGGGCGAAGAGGGAGGCCTCATTTCCCACCTCCCTTGTCTCCCGGGTATCTCTTGCTGGCGGGTCTGTCTCTTCGGAGGGCCTTGGGTGAGAGTAATGAAAAAAGACTGGCGATTAAGTGGCCTTACCTCGATAAGGGAGTTGGACAGCCCTTGTGGAGCACCATCAGCTAACCCCATGGGGGCAGGCACATCATATACAGCATGTTTCTTCTCCCACTATGCAGGGGCCCACCCATTTTCCTTCAAGCTTGAGGCAGCAGCATCTGTCTTGATGGGGACTGTGGATCCAGACTTTCTCCTGTGGGTTCTGTTTTGGCAGTGCAAGTGTCACAGCAATGTCTCACATACTGTACATCATGCCAGACGTGCCCCCAATAGGAGGGCTGATGGAGATGTCAGAGGGTCTTGGTCACGCTGCAGTTACTGATTCTGGGCATGCAGCGCGGTGGGGATCACCACTTGTCAAAGTGATTCACCAGATATTGGTTGTATCCAGTGCCACTACAATACTCCTGACTCACTCCAGAGAGCCTTGTTAGATGATGGTAATTCTAACTAGGTCTCCATCTCACACCCACCTGATGTTGGCATCAGTTTCTTGACCCTTCCTAAGAAGTAGAGAGTTAGGGCAGCAGAATCTGACAGCTGTTGTTCCTTCTCTTCTCACTGTGCACCATACATGCAATAAGATGAGATCAGAACTGAAGCACCACAAAGCCTCCTTAAGGGTGTCAAAGGCCTCTTGCCTCACTTCAGTCCATTCAAACTACACTCCAGTCCAGGAGAGTGCGTGGACAATGACTGTGGCGAAGCCAGCCACTAAACAATGGTACCAATTGCCAATTCCCCACTGGACTGGCTTTGTCCTTCTGGGCAGGAATACCATCTCCACTGATGTGGTGGCATAGGAATGAGACCTCTTTCTGCATCAGGTGGCACTTTTCTGGGTGCAAGATGGAGGTAGCCACTTGCTCCAGGACCATCGGATTGTCCACATGTATAAGGTATTTTGTCAGAGGAATGTATTCCAGTACCTTCTTCGTCAGTTGCTCGAAAGTGGCAGGAGCATTCCAGAGACCAAAGAGCATGATCTGGAACTGTCGGAGTCTTGGACCCAGACTGGGCATGCTTCAGGCATCAGCTAGAACAGACAGTATCCACTGCAGAGATCCAGTGATGAGAACCAAAAGGAAGCAACCAGATAGCCCAGGGATTTGTCATCCGGGGGCAAGGGGTAGGAGTTCTCCGATTTGACAGTGTTCAGCTTACAGTAGCTGAAGCAGAACATCCTTTTGTTCTTGTTGACCGTTACAATGGGGGCCCTCCATAGGCGCTCTGACAGTTTGATGATCCCTGCTTCCTTCATTTCCACAAAGTCCCATTTAGTAGCCCACTGTCTAGCTCCAGAACGCAAGTGTAGGCACCCCCTGTAGATTTGTTCATGGATTATGAGATGTATTGTCAGGCGTACTGTACATCTTGCCAAGCCACTGCGATGGCATGCTGAAATCGCTTTATAAGATCCCAGACTTACTCACCTTTCTTTTTCATCAAGCCCCTTGTGTTCCTCTCCCACAGAGTCCAAATCACTGCCATCCTTGCTCTCTGCTCCTTTATGTGGTGCGGCATCTTCTGGGAGCGAGGATGAAGGTGGGGTATCATTGTCCATGGCTAGTTCCATGGCCTGGCTCTGTGGCGATGCAGTGCCTGTCAAGTACTCTAGCCAAGTGGATGCTGCCCGCTGACTGCTAGCCTGTCTCTGTGGATGCTACCTGTGATGAGATGAGACTGCAAAACCCATGTTCAAAGATGCCATTTGTGGCATCACATGTCCTTTGTGGCTGCCATAGACATCATTGCCGTGGATTCTGCCGGTGATGGCATGGGCATCCTCTTAATCAAAGGAAGGGTTTTAAGGGAATATCCTGAGAACTAATTGGAACTTAAAATAAAATTGAAATTAAATGAAATAAAAATGCTAAAAAGAGCTGTGGCACTATACGAAATAGGAGAAGATGCATGAAGGACAGTGTTCAATTTACTGCAATTCCAATTCTTCAAGAGATGAGCGATAAATACATTGTCCTTTGGCATAAAAATAGAAAAGTACTTCAAAGAGGTTTAAAATGATCCTACAGTATGTTCAGACTTTCTTTCACACTTCTCAAGAGAAGTTCATTCCTTAACAGCTTCTCTCATCGCTTTTTCTTCCTTCTCTTCTACTTTCCCTGAGTATGCACAGAAATATTGTGTGCCAGAGAAACTGCAGAAACTTTTAAAACAATACTTAAACTTCCAGGATGAATTGCGCAGTAAGAAACTACTCAACATCATGACAGAGACCACAAGCAGGGGGCTGTGACCGGTTACAATTATTATCATGTTCTCAACTGTCATGAATCTTACAGTGAAATCAAAGAAGCTGACCTATGGTCCTATTATGTCAAGAGGAGTTCACCAACCACCAAAGAGAGCCTTCATGAACAACATGACTATTACAAGGAAATCAGAACCTGGGGACAGAAGATTTAAAATGGACCAGGATGAAATCCAAGGCAGGAAAGTGAAGGAGCTTAGTTTTGAATAAAGGGAGGGTTCAGAATTGCTTCAGAATAACTGGCAGAGAAGGTATCACTACTGAATCCAAACAGACAGACAGCAAAAAGGCGTGGCAATTGATTAGAGAATGAACGAGAGAAACATAGTGTTATAGTGTTATAAATTAATTAAATGGAGAAGAAAAGAAAGAAATTCAGGGTTATTGCTACCAACAGAACCAGCGTGCTTCCCAGACCTATTGCTGTTAATGATATATGAGTTTCAAAATATATGTGTCATCTGAGAGAACTACAATAATAATTGTATACATTACTTTTCATTAAACCATCTAAGCAGGCAGATGGTATACAATAATTAATGCAAAAATAATAAACAAAGCTATAATTGGGGCACAAGGGGCGAAGAAGCTTAGAAACAGGGGGCCAAAGACAAATACAATAATTGTAACGGGATTCGGTCCAGGTGCTCCGAGCCCCAGAGTCAGATGGTCAGGACGCCGTGATGAAGTCTATGCCATTGGGTCTCTCCTGGACCTGCTGGTAGGCGGGCTACTGAGCGTCAATCTTCCAATGCTGAGCAGAGCTGATTAGCAAGAGCACCAGGCTTAAATAATGAGAGACAAACAGAGGGCAGGTGCACAGAATCAACTAAAATACGAAAGGGCCAGAGTGTCCTTAAGAGGAGGGATTACAATCGTGACAGTAATGTAAAAGACAAAATAGGAAGTACAATCCCATTTCCTATCATGCCCTCCACCCTAAGTGATACACCATTCCCCCTCTGTGCCCCAGCACATCATCCTTTCCCAGGTAACAACCTCCCCGCTCCATGAGAGGGGACCCCAATAATAATCCCCATCAGAAAGATAGTACTTAAGGGCAGGACCAACAAGGCTATGCTGGTACTATATCTGCTGCTGCGGTATATTCAAGGTTGTGTACTGTAAGTTAAAGAAACCACTTCACAATACAAGCTATTAAGGAACCATCATTGTTATAAGTAAACAAATCTAGAAATATGTACCTACTGTACTGTGAGAAAGATTAAACTATTATTATATTTATAATATTGAACTCAATATGTTATTCACTAAAGAAACATCATGTGATTTGCAGACAATTTATATTGAGTACACCTCCAGTATTCACTAACAGCAGCACCACTAGCCTTGAAGACATTAATGATTATGCAACATAGTTGCTTGATTGTGGAGACTTGAAGACCGTGGGCTTAGATTGTGAGTATACTGAAATCTGACTACGGTAGGTGCAGGAAAGCCTCGGCTACTGTACAATGACTTATTTCTCTTGGAGTTGAAGCTATGCTAGTTTAGTTCTATATACAGTAAGAAGTGTTATGAATGAGACAAGACCATTCAACCCAGCTGCTATTTGGTTGCTAGATGATAAATGATACAAGGATCTCACCCAGCTGTTTCTTGAAAGAAGTATGACTGGGAAGCTTATTCCATTCTCCTGAAACCTTTTGTAGGAAAAAGGCCTCATTTTTCAGTTTTAATGTCCTTTGCAGCCTCTTCAGCAGTGCTGAAAATAACACATGGAACAAGACAATTTTGAGTGGCACGCACAATTAAAGCCTAATTAACATTGAAGAAACTAAATTATATATATATATGCTTTACAGCTCAAATATAAAAAACCTTAGACAGAAATAAAAAATATTCCACTGGTTTGTTATACAGTAGGGGCAGCCTATCTACTGAATATTCGAGGAAAGCTTGTGGTGCCACTGAAGATGTTTCTTTTACACCTTCATAGAGGGTTAAACATTGTGAGCAAAATGGCAGTTCATAAAAAACACAGATATTGATCTTAGCTCATTTCAGCAATCTGAGACAAATATGATTTGTTCCATATAGAGTGTTCGTAAGCTGCTGCAGGAAGATGCCTGATGGAGGGAGATGGAAGACGATGGTGGACCACGGAGGATACATGAGCAGTGTTGAAGTAACCAGTGGCATTGGAAGGCAGACCCCACTAAACTGAAAGGTGGAGTAGAAATGCATGAGTGTTAACACACAATGCCAGAAAAATGCTGCTGCTGTCCATCTGGAACAACTGCTTCTGTCTCAGCAAGAGCCCCAGCTGGCTGAATTAACTGCCAGTTCCAAGGCTTACTCTACTGATGGGATGGTGGTGAGTGAGGCCAAGGCCACTGTCTGGGTTGAAGAAGCTTGGATGTGGACTAGCAGAACAATTCATCTTCTTGCTGGCAACTTTGTAGGAGAATTGGCAGACCAGACTGCTGCACAGTGGCCCAAGGCAAAGCACTGGCTTGCAATCAGAAGAGGTCTAGTAAATGCTGACAAGTGCTCTGTCTAGAGGAAATGTGGCTTCCTGTAGCTCTGAGAGACCTGCAGACTTTTCTGGTCCTGGCCTTGGAAGATGTGTGCCTTTGGCTGCAGAAGAGCCAAAAAACCTACAAGACCTCCACTCCAAGAGGGAATGTCCAAAACCAAAATAGAGGCCACCCAACACACCCTGACTGTACAGTAAATAGGCAGTCTCTCCAATATCTCCAATAAGAAGGTGAACCTAGAGCAGAAAGAGACTCAGTGGTCTGGTCAGGATCTCAGTCAGATGAGTGTGAACCAAAAGGCTTCTCAGTGCCAGTGACTCTGAGAGCTCTGCCAGATTTCACCACATGTGAGTCAGAGATAGACAGAGAACTGGCAGGTTGTTCCATTTTCCCTCCTGAGGTGGACAGCAAGTTGGCAAATGCTGCACCCCAAGGTTCAAAGAAAGAGCTAGCCCAAAGTGGCGAGAGGCTCAGAGGGCTGCTCAGCATTGAGGCCAAAAGGGAAAATCTACAGGATTCACAGCACAAAAATAAAAGAGAAAAATGAGTTTTTTGCTGCTGATACAGGATAGCAAGAGCTGCTGAATGTTACATCATCTAATCTGGGTGATGGGAGTGAGACAAGCATCTGGTGTGCCTCCCTTCAATCCAAACAGAAGAGAAGAGCAATTCCATAGCAAAGCACTAAGCTCTTAGGTCCCCTGGTGGCTCAGCCAAAGAAACTGAATAATGGAAAAAAAAAGAATTTTACAGAATCAGATGATATGCAGCAATCCATGGAGCAAGAGAAGGGGTGCTTGCTGTAAGCTTTCTTACCAGGACAATTCTAAATCCCCGGAAATGATATAAAAGCACCTACTTGTAGAGGGCAGTGCTCTTATATTACTTCAGGATAGTGAGCTAGGCAGCAGGTATGTTTTGCAGAGACCTTGTCCAAACCATGGAACTGGGCAGAAGCTGTGTCATGGAAAGAAATTCTTGGTTCCTGCAAGCAAGGATAGAATCTAAGAGTAACTCTCTATTCAGGAGTTTCCTGCAGCTCCAAAGCCCTCATTCAGCTCCTCTGGGGCTGTTCATAGCATATGCAGGACTAGTAAAGACATTTCAGGCACCTGTGTAAGCCATGTTAGTCAGTTTTACTGGGGAAGATAGCACTGTGACTGTTTTTCTCACCCAAGACAGGAGACCATAGCTTGTTCTGAACCAGGGCTGCACCATGGACAATGGACATTTAGAGTGTCCTCAGAGAGGACAGTGTAGCGATGGTATACAGCAATCCTCAGTTCTTGTGGAAGATTTTCTATGGCATTTAATTCCGTACTTTCAATATGCCACTCAGGGCCTTCTGTCTTGTTCTTTTTAAGCCACTCAAAGGGCTTTGCGTTTGGGGTCATTGTCCTCTTGAAATATGAATAATTATTTTGCAGACTGTTCCAGGTTTTGTTCAAGGTTCTGCCTATAGTTTGCTTCATCCATTCTGCCCTTTATTTGACAAGCCTACTAGTCCCTATCAATGAAAAGCAAAAGCACCCACAGAATTGTATGCTGCCTTCACCATGGCTTCATGGTGTTTTTTGGGGTAATGAGAAGCGCTCTTCTTCTACCAGATACTGTATATTACTAAACATTAAGGCCAAATAACTCTGGTATCACCAGACCACAGATTGTTTTCCACATTTTTCTCACCTCTCTATAATAGAGCCCAGATCTGTGGAGTAAATCAGCTGTTGTTGACTCACTCAAAATTTCTTCCTAACTCAGCTATGAGGAAACAAATATGGAAGAGTTTTCCAGCTGTAACAAAACAGAATGTGCTACAATACAATGAGGATTAATACTTTCTAAGCCACCTTAGAAAACTTTCTTGTCTTATTATTTATATAGTAAAATGTTAGTTTTATGTATGGTTATGTTCCTGGGACTATGTGTTAAAATATGGGATTGGGAGTTGGTTCCATAGTGTGGATGTCCTTTGGGAATACATAGAAAACGAAGAGACCGGTAAAACACTGTTCAGCAGTCTGGGGTGGAATCAGGAAAAAAACATTTTCTTGATTGTGCTTCAAAGCTTGGTGGTGTGAGCTAAAGATGGCCATTAAAGATAACGTGTAAGTTCTATTTCTGAGCACAGATTCCACCCCCCCTCATTCTTCAGACCCCTTAAGAGCTACATTTTTTGTAAAGGACCTCCCTATGGGCAAGGTAACTCAGCCAGGAGAAACTCCCACAGGTAACGCTCAGCTGGGAAACAGTACTAGTCTTTGGTTCCATTTGATGCCACTCGTTACAGTTAATAATGTGAATATTAATGACAAATGTGTTACTAATGAGAAAATGATCTACTGTGACTTCACAGCAGATTAAAGAGAAGGCTGCTCAACAAACAAATCAGATTCAAATTTTGCATGAAAGTGTTATAATAGAATATGCTTTTGTATCTTAAATCACAGCCAGATTGTTCTCTTTGATATTTTAGATGTAAATATCCTTAAGCACAACTGTACACCACAGGGAATTTTCTAACACTGCACCAGTAAGATTTCTGCCTCTCCCATGATAATACTATTTGATATACAACATTAAATTACAGTAATCTTTTTAACTCATATTTCATTCTTTACAGTTCTTCTGCTGCTGTAAAACTGAAAAAAAAAAACAATTTTAGCATTGATTGCACTCTTTCTAATATCCTTTTATGTGTGCCATTTTTTACTTTATGCCATAGTTTTCTTTAACTACAGTAGACTATGATTGTTTTGGTCATTTTCTAAAGTGCTGTTTCTCACCTAATATTTTTCTTAAACCTTTGGGACTGCTATTTTCCGCTCTACCATTTCATCAAGTTGCACCTGCTGTTCCATTGAGAGCTCCAGTAGAGGGGCCAGTTTACTGCAGCTTGGACTTAAAATTCTTCATAACTGGTGAAGACTCTAAGCTGGAAAAGAGTCCATCAGCACAGTCTTGGACAGATCATAAAGAAAAAAGAATGAAAAAATGTGGCCAACAAGAGGAGCTGTAACAGTGGGTAATCTTTCTAGCAAAAAAAGTCGTGTGATTACAAAGAACTACAAAATCTTTATACTGTATTTTGATCTTTGTACTTAAATATAGGTTTTCTTGAGGTTAAGCACCATAAGCTGAGCAAGAATGCCATTTCTTTTACTTTACCACATGTCACATCTGTCCCTAAGTGAACAATAACATAATATACAATTAATTTGCAATATACAAACAGAAGATAATATCTTAACATATTACAAGACTGTAATGACAATGACTTCAAGTAATTTGTAGACCTATAATTTTATTTAACAAATAGAACACCAAAATACCCTCCATTCTTTCAGTACAAGGATCATCTCCTGAGTTTAATATCAAATGAGTGCATCTTATAGTAAGCAATGTCTCATACACTATCAAAGCTATTACAGGGCAGGCAGGTACAGTGCCTTGCGAAAGTATTCGGCCCCCTTGAACTTTTCAACCTTTTGCCACATTTCAGGCTTCAAACATAAAGATATAAATTGTTTATTTTATGTGAAGAATCACCAACAAGTGCGACACAATTATGAAGTGGAACGAAATCTATTGGATTTTTGAAACTTTTTTAACTAATAAAAAAATGAAAAGTGGGGCGTGCAAAATTATTCGGCCCC